AATACTCCCCTCATGATCCATCTAAACATTCATTGGAGTTTTTTTCATTATTAGCCCGATTCCCGTAATGGTGTATGGAAGAGAAAAATACCTGTTGGGAAAATTTTTTGGTGAATTTTTGCTTGTCTTTTGCAAAAATGGATTGGCTCATTTCTTGTTGCTCGTTGTGTTTCACATGAAGGATATAGTAACAATGTTTACTGATTACATTCATCAGAAGCCATGGGTAGTAATTAAACCACAATATTTACAAATTTTTGCGTTATAATTCGATAATTACAAGACCTTTATATTAAAAATAATTATAATCATAATATTAATAACAGTTACAAAATACAAAAATCCTCCCAACCGGCTGTTTACAATAAGCAATCAGCATTCTTTCCTTCACTCAGCATTCTTCTGCCAATATTCAACAGTTGCGTTAAAGGTAGGTCTTAGAGGAAGCGACAAATTTGGACCATTTACAATTGGAACATTGCTTGAATTCATGTTGCATAGTAAATTGGATTAAACGATCCTTCTTTATTGAGCATAGTGATGATAATGGCTCCAGGCACAATAGTCTCTGCTACGGTTCATTGGTGGATAATTCTTATGACTTCAGGATGCGTATCAATATATATATTAAAGCGTGGATTGTATTGATGATGAAGGGAATAGCGAGGAGGCTATGTTTCATGTTGAGTCCTTGAACTTTGATTATTAAAAATATCTCCTCCTGAGTCCCCTAAAAATACAATTGTAATCTTGTATAGAAATTTGTATAAACACGTAAAGCCTTGCTAAGTGGTCGTTGGGCTTGAATCTAGTATTACAGGGTATTAAAGAGATCTGCTGGAGCTTAACGCGCATTAAATCGAGAAATCTAACTCCATCCAGTATAAAATTACTACTTATCTTTTGAAAAGGGGATTCCCCGCCAAATTGGCTTATAGAAGCTGTAAGGGCTAATGCTAAAGATGGAAGGTAATTTAGAGAGTTGCGTATTTACGTATAGTTATTTGTTGCCTTATCAAGAGTGAGAGAATCGTTTGATATCAGATTAAAAGGCCGAGAACATGCAAGAAATGAATGCAAGTAATAAATACGGTGAAAATGATATTTTTTGTCCCAAAATAACGTCCAATCCAATCGAGTTTAGTTGTATTTACTTTTATCGCAGTTCATTCATCAGGCGAAGATTGATTTCACATCAATCTTTCGAGTTTAAAAGGTGAACCTTTTCGTAGCGCAAATTTTATTTTTACTCGATAAATTTTACAAATCCCTTTACCCATGGGAATATTCTCTAAATAAAATATTCCCTATGTAAGCAAAATATTTTCCTAGAATTATAATATTTCTAAAAGTAATATTCATTAATTGCTTATTAAATTTTCATTTGAAACTGATTTTTCTTCTATTACTATTTTCTCTTATTTTTTGTTATTTTTTATTCGTAGTGTTATTTTTTGTAATGCTTCCAGACGTAACAGCCTGTGGCTGTGACTCACTGGCGGATAATATCGTTTGCTGTGCATAGTTCCTCGTTTCTTCTTTCTTATTCTTTGTCTTAAATATTTTTTTTATAATTTTCCTTGCATTATTTTTATAATTTTCGAAAATTTTCGAAAAAAAATTTTGAGGTAAACTGCATAATTTATTTCAAATTTAGTAGAAAAGGATAATATTTAGAGGATAAGGACAAAATGACAGTGAAAATGATAACGAGTGATAATAAAAAATTTCAATATCGATAAAAATTATTTTCATTTTATTTCCCAATGTTTTTTATCTCATTTATTTTAAAATTTTATTTTTTTTTTCTTATAAAATTCATTTTCTCTTTTTCATTTTAGCCATTAAATTAATAAAACTGCAAGCATCGATGTTTATCACCTATAAAATAAACTGCTAATGCTAGCAATTCTACTACTTCTATCGTCGATTGATTCTTTCGTAAAGGAAGGTTTCTCACCGTATTAACAGCAGATACTAGCAGATTAAGCCTAACTCTAATCATTAGTAATAATAATGATAATTTTCTTGAAAATCAAGAATATGGCTTAATTATATAAATAAAAATAAATATCATAAATTATAAAAACATCATAAATCGCAATGTGCCTTATTAATAAACGAGTTTAAGCTGATTTTAATAGTTCCATCACAATTTAATTGATCATATTATAGCGATTTGATGATATAGGGAAATCAGGTATAAATTACGTATGAATTGGATGATTTTAAATGGATATTTGAGTACGAAAATTTTATAGCAGTTGCGGATAAGTCGTATTTTGCTTCACGTAGAATCAATTGCAAAAATTTCTTTTCATTGACGATTGTTAATAAATGAGCCATTGAAATAAGAATAAATGTTTGCAATCCATAAATTTATCCGCAAATAATTCTCTGACGAGAGATTTTAAGAAAGTAAAAAATTAGAAAAATAGCGTTTAACGAGTGGAAAATGTAAAATAATAAAAAATTTGAAAAATTTAAAACTTTTTTCATTTTTGTTTTCTAAGTCGATTTTACTGTGAATGAAGAAGTTCTATTCGAAAATTTCATTCGAAAGTACTATAAAAATTTTCTTCGCCATTTTGCAACGATCAAATTTCTACTGTTCAATAATTATTGTTTGATCACGTTTATCACGTTTGCCGTAGTTCTAATTTTTGCCGCAAGCTATTCATATTTTTTACGACGTACAAAAAATAAAATTTATTACAAAAAAATTATTTTTTAATGAAATAACTAGTAAGTGGCGATTAGCGTTAATCATTGCTAATTGGGCTTACTGCATTAATGGCTGTAAATGGCAATGAGAAATTTTCGCCAGCGAATCGCTTTGCCAGCGATAGAAATACAAGTGGATTTATTTCTAGCACACGAATTTTTACAAGAGGAAAGATCCGAAAATTTTGAAGTTATTGATAATTATCAATAATAAAATGAGTAATTTTATGCATATTGTACTCTTTTTATCACTAACTTTATCAACTGACAAAATTAAAGTTCAGAATTATAAAATATTAATTAAGTCAAAATAAATAATAATGTTTATATAAAATGAATAATTATGAAAAATTAGTTCCATTTTTCAAATTTTTACGGAAAATTTCATTAAATTTTTTTTTTAACAAAAAACTTTTGAATAGTATTATTCATGTTTTGCTACAATGTATTTGGCAAAATTGTTTGTACAATCTGCTATAATCCCTTAACATCCCCAAAAATTTATTAGTATTAAATTTATTAAATTATTTATTAAATTTATTATTAATTACCCTTTAAAACTTCTATCAAAACTGTATTGCATCATAACTCGCTGTGGAACTCTAAAATATTGCCAAACCCCGTTGTGCTATCTTTTACTGTCTGATTGTTTTCCCGAAAGCCTACTGCGAAATCTCCGTTCCAATGTTGAAACCTTTCCATATTTTTTAAAAAACGTTTATCTCATTGATAAATCGCAAAAAGTAGCTGAAGGAGTGTAATGAGAACTAATGGGGTGCAGAGAGAAAATCGTGAGAAATCATAATATACTTCATTTTCAGGAATAATTCTGCGTTTTTGTAGGGATCTTTTTACTAGTCGAACAATAATGACATGGAAATTTCTATAAGGAATTTTTTTTTTTTAGCTTAGGAAAATCATTATCATTACTATCACTGAAATTCTGGAAATTTTTATAAGAACGCAGTGTTAAAGGAATTTAAATTGGTGACTCTAAAAACAGTTTAAATTTAACAATTATTTTTTCAATTATTTTTTCAAAAACTTTTTTAAAAATTCCAATAGAGATTATAAGGTGGTGAAAATGAGAAGACTATCATCGTACAAATTGACTGTAATGATTTTTTCGATAATGATTTATAAAAATAGAAGAAAAATTTTTGACTTCCGACCTATCGAATCATTTTCATTTTTCACTTCCTTTCAGCAACATTGCCAATTTATCACATAAATTTTCACTGGAACAACAAATCGCTAACTTATTAATTTTATATCAATCAGCTGATATTGGTGATTTCTATAAGTCGGCTTTATCTGCGCCAGCTTTATCTAATTTTTTTTATTTATGAATTTTTCAATTTTCATTTTTTTTCTATTCTTTATTTTATGGGTTTTTTAAATTGAATTTTGCGAAAATTGTTTGTTTTGATTTAAAAATTTTGTTAAATTCGAATTATATTTATTTAGATCGCTGAGGAAATTAGGAATCTTTTCGTTTTTTCACGCTATCTTTTACGATTTTCTTTAAGCCATATTCATCGATTTTATTAACGTTCAATTGATTTTTATTTTCTTATTTTACGATAAGAAATCTCAGATGGCCATGTGACTTCCACTGACCTTTCTTTTCATTTCAAAAGATTCCTTTGATTAGACGGTATTCGTCTTATTTTTTTTTTTTTATGTTATCGTTATCAGTGATTGTTTAGTTTTTATTTTTGTTTAGAAAATGTCATCGGAAGAGAATAAACGAAAGCAAATTTCCCACAAAAAAATAAGTTTTGATTCAAGTTAGTTTTTTTTTTTTTTTTAAATATTTCATTGATTAAAAATACAACTAAAATTCAATTTAGAAATTTAATTTAATTTCAATTATTATTAGATTTTTTAAATTTGATGAATTAATATATTAAAAAAAATTTATCTAATTTACATTTTATTATATTTTTAATTTGGAAAAGAAAAAATATTCCAAAATAAATTTCGCAAAGGTAAACTTGGAAAGTATTTTTTTCTCTTTTTTTTTGTTATCACTTTTTTCACTTATCACTTTTTTCTATTATTTGTTATTATTCTATTTTCTATTATTGTCGCAGTTTTTTTGACGACATCAAACAAAAATATTAAATAATCAAGGGGGATCTCTATCGAAGAGAATTTTTGTCATTTTTTTGCTGAATTTTTGATGGGTTTTTCTGCCAAGCGATTTTTGTTAGGTTGCAAATTATTCATAAATCCATAATTGTCCATAAATCACAAATTATTTAAATATGAAAATGTCAAAATTACGTCTGATGTTGTTGCAGGTGCAATTTAACAATTTTAATTTTGCAGATCTCACCATAAAATATATAAGTTTAATCGTGCTTGTCGTACAAAATGCTTCACAAGTGTTGATAATGCGATATGTTCGAACGCGACCTCGTGAAATGTTTTTATCAACAGTTGCAGTTTTTGTTACCGAAGTGGTTAAACTTGTTGTTTGCTTCTTTTTAGTGTGCATCGAAGAAAAAGGAATATGGAAGTTTGTTTGACTAAAAGAGAAATTCTAATTTTTTTTTTTTAATATTCATTTTAGCAGATTTAAAGTAAATTTTTTTTCGAAGGGCCCTCATCATTTTTGGTTCGTTGTTCTGGCTTATTCCATCAAATTTTTCGGTCCCTAACAAATCGCATTACATTAGAAAACTAGAGAGGGAACCACTATCGGCTTGCGGGTATTGCAACTTAAGCATCGGTATACCTTAAAATAAAAACAGCAATTCACCGAAACAATTGGATCTTTAAAAGATAAAAGATTATAAGAATTTGAAGTATTTTGTTTTATTTATTTACATTTGTTCATTTGTACATACATTCAGTTTTCAGATGTGTTTGGAGAATGTATCAACAAATTATTGGTCAACCGGTCGATACTCTTAAAGTTTGCTTACCAGCTATAATTTATGTTGTGCAAAATAACTTACTATATGTTGCAGTTTCTAACCTACCTGCTGCCACATATATGGTAAGTCAGCAAGTTAATAACATTTCCTATCAATGAAACCATTTTATTATATCATTTATTGTTTATTTGATAAAAGTTATCAGCTTATTTAATTCGGATTCAGAGAGTTCATCCATTTCAAAATTCAAGTTTTCTCGAGTATTGAAAATTTTTTCATAGTCAGATAAACATAAAATTTTAATTTAAATTTATCGAAATTTATCTTATATTTACTTATTTATTGAAAAGTATGGAAAAGTATCGACAAGGATAGTAGCAGTTTTTCTCGTCTAAAAAATAATAAAAATGATATAAAAACAAAATGAATATTTAAAGAAAATAAAAAAATGTCCTGTCGTAGTGGTTAATCATGGAACATCTGTTGCAACAAAGATTATGTTTGAATAGTTCTTCTTTTTCAGGTAATATATCAATTGAAAATTTTAACAACTGCATTATTTACCGTACTTATACTTCGCCGACGGCTTTCTATTTTACAGTGGATCGCTCTTATAATTCTTTTTAGTGGAGTTGCACTGGTGCAAACGGTTATTTTTTTCCATATTTTTTATAATTTTTTTCTCTTTTTTCAATATAAATGAGTCTTATTCTAATTTTTTAATAAAAATATATTCTTTTTTCATTTTTTAGAAAGTAATATTTTAGGATGAGCATAATTCGCGTGAAGCAGCTAAACTTGCTAATACAACGATTGCTCGAAATATTTCGGTCGATTTGAATCAAACGACAGTCGCTCCAGTTCACTTTAAACACATCACTGAACAGAGTCCATTTAAAGGGTTTTTAGCCGTATTAGCCGCTTGTATATTATCAGGTTGATAAATTTTGCATATATCTTCTGCTTTATTTTAGATTTTAGATTATTTATTTTAGAATTAGATTATTAGATTATTTATTTTAGATTACATTATTTTAGATTTTATTTTAGATTTTTCCATTTCTTATTGGTCTATTTTATTTTTTATTTATTTTGACAAAATTTAATGCGATTTATTAGGGATCAAAAATTAAACGAACCTGTTTAATTTTAGTATTGATAGGACAGCTGTTCTTTAAAATAAATTTTTTCATAATCACATGTAGTCTTAATAAAATTGCATTCTTATTCCTTATAGGTTTTGCGGGAATTTATTTCGAAAAGATCCTGAAGACAACAGAAGTTTCGGTATGGATTCGAAACGTTCAACTTGCTATCATTTCATTACCAGTCAGCCTCGCAAGTGTTTTTGTAGGCGTTCTATTCCATTATATTTAATTGTTACCTAGAAATTTAAGATATAAATTATTACAAATTTAAAATTTAATACAAATTGCTAGCTGCTGCTTAAAATTGGTCATTTTTTAGCAATACACCTAATTTAGACGGTTTTATTCACTACTAGATTGGTGCCATTTTAATAAAGTCCCATTTTCACTTCGAGGTGGAAAAAATTCTCTATCTCTCTACTTTGACTTGGCTTTTATTGATAGCCAAGTCTCCGTTATCGATCTCATGGCGTGTTGTCGCCTCTGGTTATAGTAATAATGTCGTATTTATTTGATGGTTCCATTTCATTAAAAAAATTTATTTTTTCGGTCGATTTTATAAATTTTTATTTTTTTTTCAGATGCAAGATAGCGCAAAAGTATTGAATCGGGGTTTTCTAGTTGGATTTGATATAGTGGTATGGATTATGATTATGATATCGTCACTCGGTGGTTTAACTGTTGCTGTTGTTATCAAATTTGCTGATAATATCCTGAAAGCGTTTGCTACATCGATCGCTATTATTGCCGCTTGTATTGCTTCGGCAGTTTTATTCTCATTCAGTCCGAGTTATATGTTCATTATTGGTACAGCGCTTGTTATTGTTGCAGTCTTCATGTATAGCTTGTTTCCATATAAAAAGTCTTATCAGCGAACAGTTACTGAACCTCAGAATCAATCTGGAGAAATGGAAGCTATATAAGAAGCAATAACCAGAAGTTGAGCATTAAGAGTTGTTTTGTTTTTTTTCTAAATTATAATAGCATAATTGCCCATTTTAATTTTCTGTATTATCTAATTTTTTTCAGTATTATTTTTCTTTTTGGATCGAAGAAACAAATCTTTTTTTTTCGAGATAAATATTTGCTTCAATGAAATTTTTCTTTTTTTGTTAAAATTACCATAAATTTTATGTTATTTTTTTGTTATTTATGAATAATTTAAATTTGAAATTACTTTATTTTATTGGCGAGATCATTAAATCAAGAAGTATTGTAAAGAGCCACTTCATCTCAAAATTTTCTTGCTTAAGTTTTCGATTTTCACAGTCTATTACAGTTAATTTAATAATTTGCGATAAGTAGAATTCCCTTCTACAAAACCGCTCGAAAATTCATTTTAGTTCGATTATTATTGTAAATTTATTTCCTTTATCCATGAGAAAATTTTATCCATAAGTGGATGAGTGGTTCGCGTACGTTCCAGCAAATCATTATGCTTATAACCCGGAAAACGATCTGGTAGGAAGCATCCTCTGCGGGTTCTAAGTTTGAACTCAATAGGGCTTTTTTTTAAACAATTCGGTTGTTGCCTCTCTTATAATATTTCTTATTATTCACTTCGTTCAATAATGAACTATTTATTTAATTTTAATTTTTTTTGCGAAAAAAAAATTTGCCAAACTATCTCAATGCAATTGTTTACGTTAATTTTTCATTTTCCAGTTTAAAAAATGAAATCGTTTTTTTTTCTTATCCATTAGACATCAGAAATTCTCTTTCGCTTGGAATTTTTGATGACGTGAAAATTTTTCAACTTTTCTAAAAAATGAATAAAATTATATCAAAAGATTTAGCATTTTTGCTAGAGTCATTTCGGGATGAGGCAGTTTTGCTTTTATGCATTCTTATTCTTTTATGCGTGAAATATTCGCCTAGTGCTGCGCAACACATTTGACCGAAGCTATTAATTTTTAAGACCACGAAATTGTTAGAAAATCATTGGACGATGAAAGCACAATTGGATTGTTGGTACCAACTGGATTTTCTGTCTTATGAGAGATTTACACTTATAAATTGTTTTTGAAAAAAAAAAAAAAAAGAGAACTACTGGAAAAGCAAACAAGTAGTAAAAGATGAAAAACTTTTTGAGACATATAAATAAAAATAAAAACGAAACCAAAAATTGGTCATTTTAAAAGATCATTTTAAAATTTTTTCATTATTTTTTATTAAATTTAATATTTTAAAATTTTAAATTCTTTCTTCAATAATATTGGTGAATTTCTTAAATGTTTCTTTATTTATTGTCTGTTATAAACAAATTTATGAACTAATAAATTTTCCGAAAACGAGAATTTCCTCTTAAATGGTGAATTTTTGTAATAAAAATTTTAAATTAATCATTTATGGACCATTATTTACAATTGGTTTCATTCGAATTCGTTAGTTCATTCTTTATTTTAGAGAAAATTTAGCGATTTTTTATCGATTCAGAATTTTTGGATCTATCCGAATTGCTGCTCGCGATTTCCATTTCTCGCAGAAAGAAAGAACCTTACTCAGAAAGAAAAAACTGATCTATTTCAAGAAAATAAGCAATAAAACAATATAAATATAAATATCATAATCGTCGATTTTTAGAAAATATGAAAAATATGGCCAACTGTTTTTGCAGCGCTTCTCGATTTTGAAATTATCACTTGCACTTGTTCATTATCAATATAAGAGATCGGCGATGATAGTGATAATCTTTGTCGATAAGTGCTTTAAGCAATATCTGAGCGTGTTTGTACGATTCACAATGCGACAATTAATGGCACAGACGTTTGATGTTTCTACAAATAAGCCATTTTTTATAAGCGATTCAGTGCACAATGCTAAAGCAGCAAAAAGGTAGGTCGATGGGGTTTATAATCAGTTGTTTCCCGCAAATTCACGTGGAACTCATCTGCTTCCAGTTAATTCTTACTAGCTGAATATATGATTCCATCAATGGTTTTTGTAGATAGATTTTTTGAAAATTTATTAGCTGAGTGTTCCGTATCGGCTTTCAATCCATCGTCGTCAATGGTACTTCATCTTATTTCACGAGATTCAACTTCAGGTCTCTCAGTTCTGACGTAAATTTTTCTTTCCGTTCGTTTACTATTTCCAATTTATTGAATTACTAAAAATTTGAATATTAATTTTGAATATTAATTTAGTAAATATTTTTCAATAAAATGGAAAAATGGAAATGGAAAAGTTTTTTCGTAAAAATATATTTATTTTACAAGCAAATGAAAGATGAAAATTATTTTTTATTTTATATCGCAAAAAAATTAACCATTTTAACAAAAATTAAACTTAATTTCTGTTTTTATTAATTTTTTTTGAATTAAAATATTATATCTTTTCAATGCGATTAAAGTTTTTTCCAAAATAATTCTCGAAGAGCGACGTGAAATTTTATTATTTATCTCGGAAAGTGACGTGGGCAAATTCCCGTGACAAATACGTGAATCACGTGACAAGAAAAAAGAGTATCTATCAGCTGTTGGAAAATATTCGATTTCTTGTTTACGAGCGCCTTTTTTATTTTTTTCTTTTCCTTCATTCCAACCACATTTCTTCACAGTTATATCACAGAATTCCAACTCACTTCAATTAATTGATTAACTAACGAGCATTTGACCTTTAACCCCTAAACCGTTGCAAACATTTCCCTTTCGACAAGCAAATAAGAATTTTTTTTTCCCCATCTGCACGAAATTCCATTGCTAACATTCGGCTTTCTGTCCGCGGATGCTTGTTTGTTTGCACTCGTTGTTTTGCATTCGATTTGTTCTGTTTATTTGTTTTTCGGTTAAACGAGAGATAATAAATAATAGAAGTGAATTATTACGAGGTGATACGATTCGTTCCGTGTGAATTAAATTCGAGGGGTCTCAATTTACACGGTTCGCTGCCGTGTTCCAAAAAGGGTTTGTTTTACGCGATTTTGTGAAAAATTTGTGAAAATTGTAAATTTTTTTTTTTTTCTAATTTGTTTCTTTTAATTCAATTAATGGTACAATTTTTAACGAATTTTAGTGTTTCTAATAATTTGCCGTCGTTTTATTTCTAAAAGTTCCCTCCCAATAATGAAAAAATAACGAATGCATTGCGTTTGATTTGTCGATTTGCGAACCGCTCATCGTTTTATGTTATAGGCGATACCCGCATAACTGTTGATGGATTATTCTGCGATGTGCAAATGGCGAATATTTTAATTAAAACGTTTTCGACTCGTTTCTTTTTTCCCTTAGTGTAATAAATTAATATTAAATTAATAAATTTAAGATTGAATGGTTTTTTAATTTATTGTTGAATATTTATGAATATTATTGGACGCTACGTTCGCATAAAACAGCCCATAAATGGCGTCGGCGATGCGAGAAACGAAGAGCGAATCGATGTGGTTGAAGACGAAATTATTCGTATATTGTCGGCTAAAGAAGATTCGTGGTTTGTGCTTTTGAAATTTTGTTCGCAAATGTTAAATTATTTGTTGTTTAACGCAGTAATATTGTTATTGGCGATTCGTTTAAGCGTTTAAGTAAATAATAGAAAATTCTTCCGATAACACTGAAAGAAATAAATGCAGAAACATAGAAAAAATTTTATAGTAAAATGATCGTCGAAAATTTTCAGTGAAAGTTATTTTATTTATTTTTTTAAAATAATAAATTAAAATAAATAAAATTGTTATTTTATTTATTTTAAAAATCATTAATTTTTATTATTTTCTTATTTTTATTATTTTAATTATTCACTTAGTTATTTAATTATTTATTTTTTAGTTAGTTTTTTTTTTTTATTTTATGAAATTTTTGTTGTTTTCTCTCTAACAAAAGTGAATTTAATTGTAAATTAAATTTTATTTTGCATTTTATTTTATATGTTTGCAGGCATTGTGGACAACGACTTTCCGGTGAATTGGTTTCGATTCAAGCAGAAAACTTTGAATTGATTGATTTACCAGATTTACGTTCCAGTGAATTATATTTCGTTGCGTCATGTGCTGAATATAATAGCGAATATCGAAGTGATATATCATTTAATAAATACACTGTTAGTTTTTTTTTTTTTATTTTTATAAAATTTTTGCTATTTTTCTCTAACAAAAGTGAGTTTAAAGATATTGCAAATTTTATTTATCGTAAATTTGTTTATTTAAATTTATTTATTTCATAGATTTCGAATGTTTATTCCATGAAAAGACTAAATTTATCATCAATTTCCTATTTTATTTCTTTATTAGAGCCTATGAAATTTATGAAATTTAATGGATTGAATCGATTTTGAATTATAGGTGATAATTGTATCAAAAGTCGTCGATGAAAATTGGCTTATAGGAACTGTGGTTGGTCAAAATGGTAAGCGTCTTGGCTGCGCGGGGATGTTTCCGAAATGTTTCACTGTCAAGCTTGACGTTAGTTTATTTTTATTTTTTAATGATTTATTTTTGTTTTATTGTCCTTTATTAATTTATTTTTTTGCCATTCATGCTTATTAATTTAGTCTGCGATTATTTTTTATCTAATTCTATTTGATTTTAATAATTTTTAGGTTGCGTCAGGAAATTCGCATTGCAAGCAAGAAGAAGTGGGCAATTCCGAAGAAATAGTTCGCTTTCGATCTGGTGTTTTTGATAATACCCAAAGTTTATCTCATCATGATGTCGAAGCCAGTACTGCTTTGGGTGTGTCAAGAGAATCAATATTTGATGAATCGAAGTTGTTTTCATCTGTGGGATCGGAAAATTCTATTGGGTTTGCAGTTCACAAAATTTGTAAATTTTTAATGGATTTTATTTTTAATGAACTCATCTATTCAGAATTGCCAGTGTTTTATTCGATTTTATTGGCCGTGATTCGGATGAATTGTCTGTGCATGCTGGCGAAAGTGTTTCCGTACTTGAATTTGTCACAAATGATTGGGTTCGTTGTTATGATCCTGGCGAAAATCGTACTGGTATCATCCCCGCTTCTTTTCTCAACATTTTTTTGAATGATGGTGATGAGCTGGATGAACTTCGTTTTGACTATGATATAGAGGGTTTTAATTTGGGCAAAGAGAAAAATTTTTCTTCATATTATTCATTCGCATCATTGGATTCGTCTCAACGTAATAGGCCACTATCACCACCGACTTACAAGGAATCTACTGAGCAGCAAAATTTAGGTTCGTTTTCTTTTTACAATTTAGATTTCTTTTTCTTTTTATTGTTATTAAATTATCATTAAATTCGACGTTTTGTGTTGTCAATGCGAATGTTTATTTAATGCATTAAACGATTGTTCACGGCGGATAATTTTCAGAACTTGCAAAGAGCCTACATGGGATAGATGCAAATGCAGATACCACTTGTTGTACTCCTGATTTTTCTAAAATATCTGCCATTCGTATAGCTCCCAAACGACCTCCTCCTCCTAAGTTAAACTCTGGTACAAGATTAATTTCTTCAGCGGAAACTCCTAAAAATTTGCCTCCTCCTAGACCACCATGTTTATCCCAACAAAAAGTTTTGACGGCTCTTCATGATCGTATTCAACGCAATCATTCTGTTAACGAATCCACTGCAAATGATGCGATTATCATGAAGCAACGTATAATAGACGATCTGATTAGTTCTGAACAACAATATCTTAATGATATTGCTATGTGGGAAACTGTAAGTCTGATTAATTCTTATTGTATCTTATGAGTTTTCTCTAGGTTTATTTTTTTATTATTTTAACATGTATTCTATTTGTCGTTGAATGTATTTTCAACTGTTATAAAAATAATATTTGGAAATATTTTTTGCATAAAAAATTGAATTGGCAAAATTACGATTTTTTTCTCATCTTGAATTCCTCATCCTAGTAAAAACATGGTGACTATCGCAGTTTTCTTTTACCTATCATTTAATTGTTATTTTTTTAAGGAGGTAATTGGAAGTGCTGAAATTAGTATAGAAAATAAGAAGATTTTAACTAATGGTATTCCACAATTGAAGGATTTATCGAAAAAATTAATATCTCTATTAACTGAAGAACAAAGTGTGATTTTTATAATTTTTATTATTTGATTTCTTTTTTTTTTAATGGTAGGTAAGCCGATTCAGCTGATTCGATTTTTTCTCGTCCGTAAAAGTATAAAGATAAATATTATTGAATTTTCTACCTTATAGAGTCTAAAGGAATTTCGGGTCTTGCAGGTTTTTGTTTAAAAATTAAAAATTTGCATTAATTCTTTTAAATTCCAGGTAAACCGCTAGATTCGCAATATTATGGTTATGCTTTTATGCAACTTCGAGATGACTTTATACGCACGTTTGGAATGCATTTTCGTACTATGAAAACAATGAACGATATTGTTGAAGGGGTAGGACCGCATTTTTTTTGATGCATTTGTTTTTCAGATGGATTTTTCATCCATTTTCACTTCTTTTTGATCTGACTTCTTTTTAGCTTCTTTTTTATATTGGTCTGCCTAATAAAGATAAACAAAAGTGTTAATAAGCTGCTGATTTTCTAGAAAGACGCTAAACTTCATATGGCGTTAGCGAATTGTTTAGTAGAAATGCGTGCTCTTGGTTCAACAGTCTTTGATTTGCCTTCAGCTATTTCTCGACCAATCCATCGTTGTTTGAAATATCCTGTATTCATTGGTGAAATCTTGAAGGTCAACTCTATAAATTTTCTTTTCATTGATAAATTAATAAATTGTATAAATAATTGAATTGCTTTTTTATTATTTAACTAATTTTTAATCAATTCCATTTATCAAAATTTTTTAACCATATTTTTATTGGTCACTTTTGGTCAAATTCAGATATTTATAGGTATTATGAACAAATTAGTTCCAATTAAAGAATAAGAATTAAAAATAAAATAACATCATTAGTGAATGTTGATTTAGAATACACCATTGAATCATGCTGATCATCCTCGTTTATTGGAGGCTCTGAAGCAGATGAACATCTTGGTGACAAAAATGAATGAATCAAAACGTCGTAAAGAATTAAGTAAGAGGAATTTCAACTGATTGTTTGATCAGTAATAATACAAAATTATCATTGGTATTCGCGAAATTTTATTTTACTGTAATTTTATATTTTTTCCCTGAAATATCGTTAATTTATAGATATTTTCTTATAATTTCTTATTCATTAAAATTTGTTATTTAGATATGAAATATCGTAATAGCGAACCGCAATCATTTTCAAAGCGACTGTCGAGGCTTAACATCCACACAGTCAAAAAAAAGAGTAATCGATTCAAATATCGTCTTTCATCTCAAATTGGCCTAATTAATGTGGTGAATTTTTCATATTTATTCAAATTTTACAATTTAAACTATTAAAATATTCTAATTCTCAAATTATTTTTTCTAAAATAAAAAATTGTTATGAGCAATCAGTAATATAATTTGTAAGTGTAATTTAATAATAACAATATTTTATATTTCTTTTTTTAAAATTGAGACGTTTAATAATTTAGAATGATAAAATAAGTAATTTTTCGTCATCAAATCATTTCTATAGGATAGCGACATCGATTTCGATTCTCTTGCACAAAGTCTTGATGCGTGTGAACGTAGGATTTGCAGATTGCTGCATTCCTTGCAATTATATAAACGTTTAATGTTTGCTCGATCGCGACGTTACGCCGATATATACACCTCTCCAGAAAAGTTAAGTATGTTATTTCCTTATATCATGAAAAAATTTCGTTGTCAATGTTATGTGAAATATTGTGATCCTTTTTTATTCTTTTTATTACGCTACAATTCTTAACGCTTTCAGCGCTTAATAGTGATACTGTAATTGTTGAAATAAGAACCCATTGCCGAAAACTTCTTCGAGTTGTTGCTTCTGTCGTTGATAATGTTAATCGAAAGTAAAGTATTAATCAATATTTTTCAGCTATTTTCAACTAAATAAATTCAGATTTGAATGGCTTATTTAGAATGGAACAAATTTTATTAACAAAACAAATTATTACAAATTAGAACAAATTATATTTTATTGATTATAAATTATATTAATAGTAGTCCAAGAAATAATCACTGGATTACAACAATAATAAGTTTATTATAATTTGCTTTTCTCGATCAAATATTATATTTCAGTATCGGTCAAGAAGCAAAAAAATATTTGCGTTTACCCATAACGAAATTAATTCAAAAGCGATACGATAAGCTGATCGATTATGTTTCAGCTAGAAAGGAAGGAAAAAATGTACATCATATTTCTAAGAAATTTTAATTTATTAGCCCATGTCCAGTTATATTTCTTTCTTAAATTGACCAAAAATTTTTATTTGTTTATTAATGAATTTGAATTCCAAAGTACATTTTCTCATTATTATCAAATTTTTAGCCCGATGATGTGAAGATAAAAAAGTGTGATTATGAAGCTCTTAACGTCCAACTTAAAACTAAATTGCCAAAATTGATTGAAAATTTAAATCTTGTAAGTGTTCTTATTTTATTTTTCATGTACATTAGCTATTAGAAAGGTGGTAACCTTTATATTTTATTTTTTATTTTTTTATTCTTTAAGCCTAATTTTCTTTTATTCTCTATTAATATTTGCAGAAAACCTTATCTCTAGTTAAAAATATTATCGTAGAAGACATTGAAACTTTTACCCAATTGGATATTGATCGATTTAAACTGAGTCATGTTGGTTTTGTTTTGCATGTTATATGATAATTTGCTAATTTAATTTGTGTATGAGTATCTAAAAAGTTGTGGTCGTAAAATCCAAAAGCTAAGAATGCTAAATTTCGATCCATAATATGTTGCATTTTCGATCCATAATATGTAAACTCTAAAATTGCAATGGGGAAAACGTTTAGGAGTTATTAGAATTGGTAGATGCTAAGAGGAATGTTGACGATTTGGCAAGATGTCAAAATAATGTCAAAATAATTAAAAGATTATCAAGGGAAAATTTGAGGTGCATCAAAAGATCTTAAAAGACGGTTCTATATTTTTATAGGATTGTTTTTGTTGGTTATTTTTTATTTAGATTGTATTAATATTAAGACTTTAAGTTTTTACTTTCTTTTCTTTTATTTTAGAAGGCTCGCTGCTTCATAAAAATACCCTTTCGTAATTTCATTGATCCAGTTCATCAACGTCTCAAGACTTTTATCATAATTGGGAAACAAGCAAACGAAGAACTAAATTTCTTAAATGCAGTTGGTATTAGTAGAAGTCCTATTTTCCGACTTGATTATAAAACAGGTTACTTATATTCATTTGATGATTTAAGAAATGAATATCAAAAAAAGATTTTTTGCAGTTTTTCAATCTCCTTGTTAAAAAGTGATTTATATATTCGTTTGAGGTGATATATTTACCAATTTAGACATGATATTTCACTTTTTCACTTGCTATATTCTGATATTTTGCGCTTTTAAGATGGAGATGGCGAAGGTCGATCGCAAACAGCTGTAGAACGAAGAATGATTATTCAAATGATGGTCGCACAAAATCTGCAATACTGTCTTATGACAGTAAAAAAGGTTTTTTTGCTTTCTGCACTGATTTATTTCTTCATTATTTGGCAAGAAATCAATTTTTAAATTTTTTCTAATAATATAAGAATAAAAAGTTTCTAATTCTCCGCAAAAATGAAGGTCGTCAAAAAATAATGAAGCAAAAGAATTTTTTTTTAAGTTTATTGTTAATTGATTCGATATTGCGTAGATGTGATATTAAGTTTTATCACTTTTTTGAAGATTGCTCGAGCTTAAGCCTTATTTTTTATTTTTATTATTTTTTCTAGCAAATTTTTTCCTCCCTTTTAATTTTATTTTGATTTTGTTGATTTGAAATTATTTAATATATACAAACTAATCCAGCGATGGCCTTCAATTGAGCTAGGCTATTACGATAGAATCAACCAAATATTTGCTGAAGTCGGTGATGTAGTTATTGTACTGGAAAAAGGCAACAATTCATGGTAAATTTATTCGCTCATTGCCTTAATTTTTCGTTCAGTAATTTGCATTTCCTTTTCCTTCAATATTTTAATATATGTATTTTGCATACTCCATGATAGAAACTTGCAATTTTTAGTCTGTGTGATAGCGGTGTGGTTCAAGGTCATATACCTCTAGAATATTTGGAGCCTTTCAACAAATCAATATATGCAGCTTGTGAATCTGCGAAGTCCGTCGAAGTTTATTCTATTCCGGAAACCAATCTGTCACTCGTTCCAGATATTAATTCACTAACACCATCATCATTGGTTAATTTTATTATAATCTTAAACAGTTTTGTATATATGCTTTTTTTGTCGTAAGAACTCGTGATTGGAATTAGGAATGATAACGGTGTATTCTGATTGCAATAGGTTTTTTAATTCTTATTTTAATAAAAGTAAAAGTAAAACCGTAATTTTGCTGGTACTTGCAACCCAATCGGCAACTGGCAGTTGGATCAAGCAAACCAGAAATTCTATTAAAAGATAAAAAAGATTTCGTATTATTTTTATCTTACATTTTAGGCCCCACCTCATTCTGCATTAAAATCAATGGTTAAAATTACGAACGAAAATGTAGAAACAAATCTAATCGGTTAGTATTCAGTATTCCATGTGATTATTGAATTGTTTTCTTTATTCTATTTTTTGTATTCATTCGAAATAAAGAATAGAATACGCATTATAGTATGAAAATTGTCATTCCATAGCTTCAGATTTGGATGAAAATTTGTTGGACTTAAATTCATCAGTTTCTGCAACATTTTTAGACCATATGAACTATGATTCTCAGGTTATTTTAATTTTAAGAAGTTATAAACCTTGGATAGCTCTTTAATCCTTAATATTAATTAAGAATCTTAACGAACTTCCCAATTTTATTATATTACTACGGATCGTTTCAATTGATTTCTTTTATAATTTTTAATGGTGAAAACCCAGTCCAATTGCTTTTTTTCAAATGTGAACATCTCGAATTATTTTTAAAGTTTTAATTAGCATTTTTATTCATAAACTTATAGTTCGAAGATATTTTTCGAAATTATTTAATTATTATTATTAAATTATATATCTTTATTTTTTATCTCTTTCTTTTCGAAATTATATATTCTTAAATTTAAGCAAGCTTCCTCAGCATTCTCGTCCATTGATCCTTTTGATTCATGCATTCATCAAGAAACCACTCCCAATGCTACCAGTGATCCTTTTTATGATCTCTTTCAGCTAGCGAAAGCATCTCAATATTTAAAGGTGTTTTTTTACGTCGATGTTGATTGTTTTAATATTATATTCTGTAATATATTCTATTCTTCATGTATTCTTTTTTTTATTTTTTTAATTTACTAAATGTTTTTTCATATTTTCATTTTGTTTTTTCATATTTTCTTTTTCTTATCATTTCTTTTACCAAAATAATTCTCTAGTTTTATAATAAATATTGCCAAGTCAACGTTTAAGAATGGGCATCCGATATCTTCCATTACTGTACCACCTATACCTTTAAAGCCTAAGCAGATAGAAGCCGGAAAAACAAGCTCGGCTGAAATGGATCGCATTACTACGATTCCAGAAATTCCCGAAAGAGACAAAAAAGAATTTATGAAACCAATTCGGCAAGCGCCACCTATACCTTCTTCAGAAGATCGTAAAATTTCTGACGAAATCGAAATCGAAGATGATGATAAAAAAGTTAGCAATATTTGATAAGGGAAAGGGAATATTGATAAGGGAAAGGGATAATAGCAATTCATACCATGCGATTTAAATAATTCAGAATTTCTTTCTAACCTTTTAATGTTATTCGCATTGACGTCAAATTTCAGAGAAACGTTTAAATATTCAGAGAAAAACGTGATGCAGATATGCAAATAATATAAATATATAAATACATATATAATATAAATAAAATTTGAGATAAGAGATAAGAGAAGAGATAAGAGAGAGATTAAGAGATTTTTCTTTAGAAATGGTTGAGATGCAAAGCAGACTTTTTATATGAAGCCAAAGATGATTTACAAATCTCTCTTGCTGAAAATGATGAAGTAAATATTTTCTTTCTATATTTCTTCAATTCAATGATAAATTTTGTTGATTCATTGATTAATTTTTTTGAAATGAGGTTATTCTTTTAAGTTTCCATATTTCAAATAGATTTTCATTAATGACTTTTTTAATGTTAAGGTAATCGTTTTAAAAAAAAGTGACGATGAAGGGAATGATCAATGGTGGCTTGTAAAAAACAAGAATGGTCAAACTGGATTCGTGCCGGCGAATTATCTCTCCAGAATTTGATTCAGTTTTTTGAAGCTTTTATTTCTTATTCATTTGATAGGTATCGGTGATAGTTATGAATATTCGCTTATTATTCAATATTGTTATAATTGTTGCTTAATATTTAATATATTTAATATATTATACTTAAGATTTTATGTTATCTGCATTTATAAGTTATTTATAGTTTATATAAAATTTTTAGCTTCTTTTAAAAGGTTTTCTTTCTTTAAAATTTTCTATTCGTTTTTTAGCTCATAGTATTATTTTGTCTTTGTCGGTCGATTGTTGCTAACGGGTTTTCCTCTTCTCGTGATCTTCTATTTCATATTATTTGATATCTTCCGAGTCATAATGTCTTATTAATTATTTATATAGTACAAATAATGGTGCGTTTTTTTACTTCTTTCGTTCGTTAAATATGCAGTAGTCATGCTTATTTGTTTTTTATTATTAACAAAATTGGAGTAAATAATGAAAAATAGTTGAAACATTATAAATAAATAAATAATATTTCCACAAATTTCCGATAATAATCAGCGTTATTATGGTTGATAAATTTATTAAGCAAACAATGGAAGTATTTATTTTAATAATTTTTTTTTCCAGTAAAAAATAAAAATGAAAAGAAAATACATATCTCAAATTCTCAATTCGTTATGGAAATTTTGTTATAAAAGAATTCATAAATTGGTAAAAGAATTTATGATAAAAATAATATTATTTCATAGCAACGAACTGTTGTTCAGATCAATTTATCATAGAAGCTTATCATTTCGTGGACTTAAATAAAATTTGTCCTCGCCGTTTGAGTTTAATTTTATCGTATGGCTCATTTATGGACATAAATGCTTCAAAAAAAAGTCCTATTATTATGTATTTATTTATTAGGGAAACTAAATTTTTTTTCATTACAAGTAAATTAAAAGTATTCTCAGTATCATTTATCAGTTATTCGTGGTGAAAACTAAGGAAAGTTGAAATAAAGTACGCTTAATCATTTACGATTTGAATTTTACCGCTGTCTTTATCAGTAGAAAAAATAATTTAAGTAGGATTTATTCAATTAAGTATTAATATTAAAATTAATTTAATATTCATTCAAGTGATAAGTGATTAAGTACTTTTTATTCTTTGTCGCTACCATTTATCTTGTAGATTTAACGTTTTTCTTCTACAATTTTTCAAGAACAGTTCTGATAGCATTTTTTTCTGCATTCTTAATGATTTGCTTTTAAGATAAAAGGCATCGATGATAAAGGCACCCTTGCTTTATATTTTTTGTAAATTCGGAATCTGTTTCCATATATATATATATATATATATTTTAATAAAGAAGTCGGAGGTTTCTTATTAGAATCCTCACCCGTTACAAAACTTTTTTAAAAGGCCTTTTATAAAATGAATATTATCGATCGCTGCATTTAGTCAGACTAACGGCTAACTCAGCTGGAGAATGTTTGTAAGAAACTTTTACCAGAGAATCAGGAATTTCTCACTAGTGGTACGGAATTTTACAGATAGGTCACTAGGATCTTTTACTGATTTGTTGATTTACTCATTCTTGGAACTTGGTATACGATATGGATCACTATAATCCAAGCAGCCGCAAGAGTCGTCGAAGTTCTAATTTTGCCATTTTGTAACTAATATTTACATAACTAATATTTTACTGTACGATTTAATTTTTGTTAATTATCCAAATTTAATTGTGCAAATTTGAGATTTACAATCGAATTTGCAATCGAATTGTGATTCTGATACGACACAGACGAACGAACAATTAACACTCCGAATAGAGAAAATTAATTTTATCATAAATTATATCAAAAATATGTATCAAAAATAATATTGAAATGAAGCTGACTATTCATAATTTTTCTTCTTTATTTGCTTCTAAAAACGAATCCAAAATGCACCATTTTGCACCGCTTAAAAGCTAATTTCTGCGTTTAGAAGTCGGCTTTTCCACGTTCTTAAAACTGAAAATATTTAAGAATCAACGAGAGAAAATCAAGCAAGCAATGCTCATTTAATTCACTTTTTGTTATATTTGATTTTTTAAATGAAATACACTCGTAAATTTCGGGAAAATTTGGAAAAAAACGTAAAAATTTCCTTTTCGAACTCTTCGAATAAATTTTGAGCTCGTTTAAAGCAGAAATCCCTTTTAAATTTTTCGAATGAAATGATAAATTTTATGAAAATTTTTTTTATAAATAAATTAATGAAAAACGGCATACGATGGAAATGAATTAATGAAAGAATTGTCTCATAACGAAGCACCCACCACTCCCCCGATAGCAACGTTTTTGGGGCCGATTTTATCTCTTAGGAATCCGCTTGAATCTCTCCAATATTCCCTAAAAATACTGCTTTCAAGTCCTCCAAATCTCCACTCGTTCTCGTCTCAATTTGTTCACCATTTTGCTGAGTTAAGATTATGGGCAAAAGAATATAAAGGGATTTGAGGAATTTGATGAAGCAAAACGGCAGCGTACTCGTGGAGAGTATTAAATGGATATTCAAGCAGGTTTTTCGTAAAATACGATTTTCTTGACAGAGGCGGAAGGAAGGTTCATCAAAGACGATAGGCCGAGACTCCGTGGAGATCTTAAGACATAAAATTCTGTGTTTATGGCAAATTCATTAAATTACAGATTTTGGGTAGAGATTCGATAATTCCATAATTCGATGGAATTCAAGGCGATTAATTTTTATAGTCTTATAATATAGCACTTATAACACTTATAAAATACTCGGAAGGCTAAAAAATTTCATCGGCGAAAAAAATAAATCTATGAATAAAATAAATTGGTGAATTAATATATTCTGTCAACTAAAAAAAAATTAAGATTGGTGAATGCTGCCAAAATTTTTTCATCGAAATTACAAATGACTCTCGGAATCTCGGTTGAGATGATTCGATTAGCAACGTCTTTGAGGCCGATTTTATCTCTCAGGAATCCGCCATTGAATCTCTCCAGTATTCCCTAAAAACATTGGATGGCATCGCTAATTTAGCCAAAACAGCAAATTGGGCTATAATTTCAAAATGCATTATTTAATTTATAAAGATTGCTTTCTTTATTTCCAAAATATTTAATTTACTTTCCCTTAGTTGAAATACTAAATTAAATAGACAATTGACTTTGTCTCAATGAATTCATTCCAAAGATATCTCGTCGATAGGTCGCGAAATCATTCGAAATATTCAGCGAGAATATTTTATGATCCCTATGGGCATCTGAATCTTATCGCCACAGGGATTTTACTTGTAAGACGAGATTTGAGAGATTCCCGGCAATCGAAAATCCAAACTGTTTATAATACTCAAATACAATAAAATTTATCGAACAAAATTTTTAATTCATTATTGAAATCTGAATAAATAGCAGATAAATAATAAATAAATCTAATCTGTCCCTTTCAAAAAAAAAAGCTACCAATTTCTTATTTTTGCTGGAAATATTATTTAAATTGACATTACATGAGCCTCGTTTATTAAATTATCGAATGTTACCTAATTAATTTCTTTTGGTGAAAATATAAATAAATAAAAAATTTAAAATATTTTAAATATATGCGTGACTGTGGATATTTTTAGTGATGTAAAATAATGGAAAGCAATAAATTTTCTTGATTAAATGAGTTGTTACATTCTAATTTTTATGTGATTTTCTCAAATAATATTTAAAGAGCGCACAAATCAGTGAAAAATCTTTTTATCAAGAAATTATCAGTGGAAAGCAATAGAAATATGCATTTGATGAAATATTAGAACTGAAATGAATACCTTCCTAAATCACATTCCATGTCAAAGAAAAAGAAATTATTGCTTTTTATGAAAAACCTATGCGGGAATTATTGTGGATTTTGCTAAAAATATAAAAAAAATGCAAAATTAAATAAATCGAGCAAAAATAGACATTGTTCAGTGAGTGAGTTTAATTTCCCATATTCGTCGAGATAGAATTCCTCCACGGGTTATGTTGCGTTTATCTCGAAGTGCCGATACCGAATTTCCATTTCTGACTGGGGCAACTTTTAAAAATCCGCGTACATCTAATGACTTACTCGTAATTCTATCGACTTATGCAAAATTCATCTCGTCCAACGAACCAAAGGAAGCGTCCTAACGATAAACGAGCTTTCAGGTGGAATTCAGAATCTAAAAAGCCCTTAATTCATCTCGTCCAACGAACCAGAGGAAGCGTCCTAACGATAAACGAGCTTTCAGGTGGAATTCAGAATCTAAAAAGCCCTTAATCCTTCCCAGCCCTTAATTTTAATAATGTTTATTTTCAGAACTTTTAGAATATTTAAAATTTTTATTTTGATGATGAAAAGCTAAAGCCTAATGGAAAGCATTTCAAATGTTCACTTAATATATCTGTAAAATATCTTTTAATATCGAATTTTAATTAATTTTATATTTTACTTTTCATATCATTTAATAAATCTTTATGAAAATACTTAAGCACATATCACAAAATAAATTTCTCCTCGCAATTAATCTAAAGTTTCTTTAAAATTAAAAAATTTTCTTTGTGAATAATGAATTTATAAATAAATGATTATTGGCGAAATGATAAAAATTTAAAGATATAATTAAGATATAAGATATAAACATATAATTCTTCTTTTCATGCATAGTTTATTTAATTTACTAATTTAAGGACGGATAATTTTCGAAGATCATTCGTAATAATATTTCAATTTTCCTATAATAATTGAGGTCGTCTTTATTATTTATTCTACGGTAATGGATTACCATTAATTTTTCAGGAAGAAATCCAAAATTCGGTAATTGTTTTCATTTTAATTAATTTTAATTTTAATTTTAATTAAAATAATTTGAAAATAAGAAGAAGAAAATGCTTTATTAGCGACTCTTTCTGAGTTAAAAGAAACTAATTTTCGAAAATGAAATTAATTAAAATGTTATTATCGATTTATAATATTTATAACACTTCGAAATATTAATAAATTCGAAAATATGTCGGTTTGCTAATATTTAT